GTGTCAACATCATTTATCGATATGAGATATATATCCCTTGACGGGAATAGGAAAGTTGTAGAATGTTACTGTGCTAGTTATATGTCCTATGTCCGTCCTAATGTTTATTGTCTAAGATGGGTTAGTTAAGAGATCACTTTTGCGTGTATGGCTTATAGTGGTGAGTTCTCTTTTGTTTAAGAGATGTCATGGACTTCATATGTTTTGTGAATGCCGTGGGAACGTTTCTTAGCCACCACTTATTGGCCTCCTATGTTAAGCTTGATATGCTGTCTTTTTTGCATTACATTGGCGTAGATGTCTTTTGGAACTCTACTCGTGCTAGTAAAGCTACTAATGTCGGTTAATTTTTCTATGAATTATCGTTCTCATAATCTCATTAACAATTTAACTATTCTAATATCCTAATTTTATGCTATCATTTTACTTACTAAGTTCATTTATCTATTTTCTGCTCGAATTAATTAGCATGATATGCTGTCTTTTTTGCATTACATTGGCGTAGATGTCTTTTGGAACTCTCCTCGTGCTAGTAAAGCTACTAATGTTGGCTAATGTTTCTATGAATTATCGTTCTCATAATCTCATTAACAATTTAGCTATTCTAATATCCTAATTTTATGCTATCATTTTACTTACTAAGTTCATTTATCTATTTTCTGGTCGAATTTATTAGCATGATATTGTATCGATTTCCTCCTAGTACTATGGTGTACATTTATAGTTAATGTTATTTAATAAAATACTAAGTAAGTTATAGCATTACATTATGACATTATAGTATTCTATCGAATTGTTATATTACTTAATTAGTGAATTGGAATAATACTAATTTAAGTATATAACCTTATAATTCTACAATCTTATATGAAAAAATTTGATGATAGTGCTATGCATAATTTGGTACAACACTATTTTTAGTTTTACTTACACCAAGATGTTCATTACATTCTTTAATTTTTACAATCACTAACCTACTAATCCCATACTAACGTTTGAGCATGGTACTTATGTCATGACAACAATTACTAAGGCCTTGTTCTCTTTATCGTTTTCTAGTCATTTTCTGTTTTTAATTTCTCAAAATAGTGAAAATGCGTTCTCTATCTTATTTTCGAAAATGCATTTTGAAAAATGAAAAAAAAAAATATAACTAAAAACACAAAACAA